CCCCCCCCCCCCCACACACCACACACACACATACACAGCTCTCTGCTTCAGTTCCCCCATGGAACTGATTCATAATCTTGTCCTGTTCTCAGGAGGTTGTACAGGAGCACACTAAGCCTAACACCAGCCTACACCCACTAAACGGAGCACACGTTCTGTTCACATGCGTGCAACATGGCACTGCCAGCAAGATGGGAGTTAGTCACTGCTCAAGGTGGCATGGAGAATTCATCCCCAAAGCAAGAGCACAGGCATGCCTGGCCGTCTTCCATGGAACCCAGTGGAATCGAGTCTACATGAAGCTCGATTCAGCTGGTTTCTCATCAACCTTCGAAATGCAAATTATAGAGCTCAAGAAGGTGGAGTTCAGAGTTACCTTTAAAAGTGGATGCAGATGGCCTCCTGCAGTAGGAATTCCCAGTGCATTGAAATTGTACATCTTGAATTCCTGGGTCTTCCATGCACCGCTGCAAGAAAAGTTGGAAAACGATTCAGAAGATGCTCCAAGTGCTCATAACAATCCAATCCGTTTCCCACCATCGGGACAAACTCGACAAAGAGGAAGAAGGAGAAGAGAGGGGAAGGACGAGGAGGAGGCAAAGAAGAGGAAGAGGAAAAGGAAAAGAGCAGGAGTTAGGAGGACAGGGAGAAGGAGGACAAGGACAAATGGCAATGACTATAACCACCACCATAGCCACCACGATGACAACTACAATGCGGCAAGGACATGGACAAGCAGTGATTTTGTTACCAATGATGATGATGATGATGATGATGATGATGATGATGATGATGACGATGACGATGATGACGATGATGATGATGATGATGATGATGATCATCATCATCATCATCATTATGATGATGCTTACAAGAACAACAATGATGATGATGATGATGATGATGAATAGATGATGAAAATGAATGCTGAATTGATGATGATGGCTACTGCACAGTGGCTCAGATAGTCCTGACGCCGAGAGTGGATACTTGATTGCACTTTGCGCACATGACGACAGGAAATCCAACTCGGCATGGGAACTCGAGGTTCGAAAGCAAATCTGACTTTCAAAGTTCTCTCTAATCAAAAGGAGTGAATCATTAAGCACAGTGTTCAGAAACCAGCTGAAGCATTGTCATGCAAGGATCGACGTGGGAGTACGGGAAAAATGCAAAGGAAACAAGAGGAAAGAAAGAGGAAACAGGACAAAGGTCGCTAATGCTGGTACTTCACAAATTCTAGGATTTCGTCATGTTCAATGGTTAAACCACTACCGTCTTCACCCCAATAGAACGCCCGGTCATTATAGCCGTATCTGGGGCAGTTTTTTGTCTAGATGCAGCGATAATGACCGGGCGTTCTATTCGGGTGGAGACGGTAGTACCTTTGTCAAGTGGGATAACAGCAGGGCCTCCGAACTTTTAGGGAGGCCAAAACAAAACAAAACGAAACGAAACGACAGCCACCGATGAGATTTATCAATGGCAGCCACCATCAGGCCCGCCTCCGACCTCTTCGGGAACAGCGCGTTTTCCCTATTTTCCCAACACTGGCGGAGGTACTAGCGCTTCAACTCCTTTGAGTTTAGACACCCTTTGTTCTGTGTACTGGTTAACTCTTTTGAGTTGAGTGCAGTTCTTTGCAATTTCGTCAAGAAGCGCTGAACAAGAAGTGCCTCGACACAAAAGATTAACCACTGGCAGTATAAAAAAAAAAGCTCTGTAGTCTGTACTCGCATTCTCCGTAAGTTCCATCTCCATTCCATAAATCCTAACTCTATTCTCCAATTCTCCCCGCTCGCTCTCTTTCATAAAACTGTCCAAGCACCAAACTCAAACAAATTCGATCTATCTACTCTAACTCTACCACAACGGTAAAGGGAAAGGCTGGTCTCCAGCCAGGGTAGTTGGTTTTAGGAGACCACTGTACGGGAGAGCTGTGTGATTTTGTTGGGGAGACCTCCATATGCGGGGCAGCCTTGTGGCCGACTTCTATACAATGGTAGCTGTTGATAAACCGGTCACGAGTTCAAATCCTGAATGGGCACACACATGGACATGTTGATTAACAGGTCGTGAGTGGACGTCCCGAACGGTACACAGTACTACACACATATACCTATTGATAGACAGGTCATGAGGATGGGACAGCGACCAGCCGGCTCTGCCGGCCTGGACCTGACTGGTCCCGATCAGCTGAGGAAGCCCAACCAGAATTGCGGTTCGACCCCAAAAAGAGCTTTCCTTTTCTTTTTTTCTCTTTCCTTTTTTGACTGCGGCGTCCGACTGCACTCCTCCAGAGCAGTCACATTCTGCAATAAAAAGTTCGAACGAACAACTTACTTTTTGGTGGGGTGGGATCAGGGGGGGAACGGGGGGGCAGGGGAGATTAGGGTTTGATAAGTACCCCCTTGGATGGGGCAGGGCTGCGCCACACTCTGCAGTATAATTCAATACAGAGGTAACCATGGAAGGGTGAAGTAAACAAGCTTACTTGTCCGACCGCTCCTTCGCCCGGAAGTTCTAATTCAGCATCTTGTGATCTGGGGGACCACGGTATCCGATATAGAAACGATATCCCAGCCGAAAGGTCACATAAATAAGATTTGGTTTCCCTTGAGCTTTGCCAAAATTTATACACTTCTTCCACAGCGCCGCGCTCTACAAGAAAGTTATGGGTTCAGCTTTCCGTTCGTGCAGTCAGAGCACTTTCTGTTTGCCTTTTTCATATACGGTGGGTCATCAGTCCGAAAGTATCTCGCCTGGTAATCCGCCCAGATACATGCAGTGGAGCGAGGTCCATTCTTGGGCTTGCACCTCGGACACCATTGATGTTCTCACTTAACGAGCTGAAATCCGAACCCGTGACTTTTTTGTTCCAGAGCATAGGGACATGCGAGAAGCATATAATCTCGGCAAAGCCCTCACACAATCATATCAATTTCAGTCTCTTTCCTGAAAAGCCTGAGTATTTGATCGGTATGATCTGATCCGTGGCACAGTGGACCAAACGATACTCAACCGATTCCCCTATGGGAGTCCAGAAAGAACCCCCACCCTTATAAAAATTGAAGACAAATAGAGGGGGTCGACTGCCGCTTTCTAATTTTATGCCAGCGGTGGAGGCCTCCGTGAGGCAACAGGAGGAAGGCAGGCCACTTTCATACCCGAATTTTGCCTCCAGCCAAAATTCGGTAGGGGCGACCGGGAGCCGACCGGGATGGCCGACTGCCCAGTCCAACCGGGAGGCTCCCGGTTGGGGGAGGGGTCCCCGGTCCATCCGGGGACCAGCACTGGTTCAAAATTCAAATTCATTTAGCTCGCGACAAACGAGTCGTGCGTTCAAATCACGAACAGTACGCACACATACCTGTTGATGGACAGGTTATGATATTCATGTCCTGAATGGGGCATGGATGTAGCTGTCGATAAAGAGGTCATCCGTTCCAAGTCCTGATGACCGACATGGCACCCTTTTGTCTGTGGTATTCCTTATGAGTCATGACCATTTCACGACACTGCAGCGCGGCAAAATGACAGACAGCATGTCCTTCAGTGCATTCCGGTCCTCCAACTCCAGTGCCAAATCTCCCGTCGCCGACTGTGGGATTCCCAAGCACATATCCTTACAACAGACAGCATGTCTTTTTTCCTTTTCTTTCTTTTTCTTTTCTTTGATGCGTGTCATCCTTGTGCAGGGGACGTGCTAATCTTCTCTTTATTGTTCCAATTCTAAATTCTAATGGATTCCATATGCTTCAGCAGACAGCCTGGGCCTGGCAACGCATGAGAATACAAAAAAACACGGTCATTTGGAGGGGTGAAAAAAAGAATGATTCGCCAGAAAAACAAAAAGACAAAAATCTGCCTTGCCATCCCCCTGCCACACCAGCCCTCTCCCCCCCCCTCCGCCTCCCCCCCGACAGTACCCTCCCTTCTGCTTCCCAGCCACGTGTGCTTGCTATACCTCTCACCCCTGTGTGCCACGAGCATAGCCATGGCAGTGAGAGAGAAGCATCTCGAATCCAGTAGAGGGAGAGAGAGAGACAATGGAGGGGAGGGAGCAAGGAGGGGGAGAAGAGAGAGAGAGAGAGGGAGAGAGAGAGAGAGAGAGAGAGAGAGAGAGAAGATTGCCCCAAGTAGTCATATGATCAAGAAGTGAAAACCCTAAGCCCCCTTGGTACCCCTTCCCAGCTTTTCTTGCCCCTTTCCCTGTCCCCCCCCCCCGCCGCAGCATAGCTTGACTACCATTACTAAAGAAAAAAGAGAAAAAAGAAAAGCTTACCTTGCCAACATGTCTCGTGTGAGGTCCGTTGCTGGCTTGGTCTTTTTCAGAGCAAATTTTGGGCCCTTGCGTAGGACGTAGACTTTGTACGGTCTGCACACGCGCCACATCACAAAACCAAGAGGATGCAACCCATCACTGCGACGGCATCGAGGATAAAAACAGAGAAAGAGAGATGGAAGAAATGCAAGGTACTCAACTTCCTATTATTACCTTTATAGTTTGCTCTAGAACTTCTCAACTTCCTATTATGGTTTGTTTAGTAGAAATTGGGAAATTTCCAAGTGAAATTCTGAATGCATTGTGCAATTTACCTTAATGATTGCAAATTGCACAATGCATTCAGAATTTCACTGGCATTGCAGATATAATTACGGGAATCGGGGATTGCCACTGCGGCAAAATTGAGCATAAGAACGAAAAGAGAGACTGGAAGAGACTGTAATGAGAAATAGCACTAACTGGAATTGGCATTCTACTATGATTGTAGCAACACCAACCATTAAAAGTTGAAAGAAAGAAAAGAAAAAGAAAAAAGAAAAAAAACAGAACAAAAGATGGTTGATATAGGGCAAGTCGGAGATCTGGATGCTGTCTGGATAAAATTACAGAGTTTTTTTTCCTTAAATAATAAAAAATGCGATTTTGGCATTTTGCACCATTTCTCAATTTATGGGCGTCATCCTTGCACAGCGGCCATGTTAATCTTCCTGCTAATCTTCTCCGTATCGTTCCAATTTTAATGGATGTCTTGAAGGACAAATTAAATTATTATTACAAACAAATTAATTTCGGAAATTTCCAAGTTTTCTAAATGTTCCAGAAAATAAGAGGAAAAAACAAATGCCGGAAAAAGATACGCTATTCAGCGTTGCAATACCAACAACTGAGGGTCATCTAGAAGTTCATAGCCAAATTCTTTTCCTTTTTTTTTTCTTTTTTGACAAAACAGGTCCTTATGGTCCTGGCTCCTTTCCATTATGGGGAGCATCGGTGCGGTTCCTGTTCACCCAGCAAGTCTAAATTGAATATAACATGATACACGCACAGGCTTCCTTCCGTATGGCCGAAGGACCCCTGATCAGCATTGATTGCTCCCCTCCCCTGGAGGAGGATTGACTGTCAGCTTGCCCTGCCCACTTGTTCCTCTCAGGCTCCACGCAAGGCCTGTCAGATAGGTCTAAGCAAGACTAGAAAGGTGGAAGGATCTGCTACCAATTGTGCATCTGAGTACTGTATCCCCTCTCCCCCTCGTCCGACTGTCTCTGCTGTTGCTCATCAGGATCTTGCCTCTTCCTGGGGTTCTTGGCTTGACATAACCTCATGACTGGGCCTGGTGCCACTTCTTCCATCTCAGCCTGTTATCTGCGAGGGTGGCGATCTTGCCCCTTAGAAGCCAGTCTCTCTGGAATGTGTCTCTTGTTTGCTTGTCTTTCTGGTCTGTGTTTCATCGGAGCCGCTATCTTTCGCCATCTGCTTCGGATTTCAGTCTCCACCATACTCAGCAGTAGAGAGTCTAGAGACCACATTTCTTATCGCGCCACCCCTGCTCCCTCGATTGTCAGTGTGCATCTGCGTTTCCATATGACCCAGAGTGCCAATTTCCTGAGCAGAGTGAACCAGACTTCCCTGCTGCCCTTGATGCAACTGGGGTTGTTAGCGAAGAGTAGGATAGTTAGAGGGGGGATGTTGGGAGGTGGTGAGTTCATAGACAAACTCAACTTTAAAAAACAAAAAACTTTTTTTTTTTTTTGCTTTTCAAGTCTGAGGGTGGGGGGCCACATTTTGTCCTCACTGATCCACACCTGCAGATGGCATCCAGACCGGATCTGGCTCCCGACTGTCCAGATATTTCCTGGTACGGGTCTGGGAATACCATGGTGTGGGGTGGTGAACGCCAACTGACCGCACTGTCGGAAGGTCAAGCCTGAGGCGGAAGGTCAAATCAAGAAACCATGAGGCCTGATGACGTCTAATACTTCCAAGTAGAATAGACTGTGAGTCAAACCCATTGCAGACGACTTAGACAGGGAACAGGGTGTCGTAAGAAGTAGAGTGGCCTTGTCGTCACAATCTGTTGAGATTTGGCCCTCTGTTAAAAACAGAATGTGAGATTGTAAATAGTTGCAGAATAGAAGGGGCTTTGTAATAGTTTGTATTTGTTTTTTTTTGTTTTTTTTTTGGGGGGGGGGGGGGGGGGGAGTTGCAGATCCATGCAGACCACGTGCGGAATTCAATGCGCTGGCACATTCAGAGTACAATAGACAGCATCTGTTTACGTCTTACTCTAAATGCTCGACACATCTTTGCCAAAGTTCCTGGCAAGAGAACTCTGCAAAAGCTTTTTTTTTGAATTTTCTTTTATTTTCTTTTCTTTTTTCAATAAGACTGGGTGTCAACGGGTCAAAGTACTGCCCTCAACATCAAAAAAATAGAAGCGGAACTCCGCAAAAGCTTAAAACAATCGTAAGGACATTTGACCTCTCCCCACCAAAAAATTTAGGAAAACTGAGACAGGGTCACACTTAAGGATTCAAAGACTCCTTACTGCACAGAGATAAGCTTCCGCTTCCTCAACGGTTCCATCTCCTTCTCAGAGAACTCCTGTAGCCACACACACACACAGAAACACGCACACGCACATGCGCACACACACAAACACACACACACACACACACAGAAACACACACACACACAGAAACACACACACACAGAAACACACACACACACACACACACACACACACACACACACACACACACACACACACACACACACACA